CAGGGAGCCTAGTGGACTGGATTCGGGGGAGAGATGGAAATGGAGAAAGGGGAGAGACTTGAGAAATACGGAAATATGGAGGTGGAAAACAGTCAGGACTTGGAAATAGATTGGATACACATGACATGTCAAACTTCACTTCTTTTTACATATATCAAATGGTACAAACAGATGTTTTTGTACATTCCCTTTTTTTATTTCAGCTTGGTTCTTCTTTCGATTTACATTTTAAACTCTTACTTGAGTAAACTCCAACTGGATGGAGACTAATGACAGTAAATATCAGAAAACATTTTCAGATTATTATGATGACATATGGCCCTGTAATTCTGGATTTTGTAACAAAGCAGTTTGACTTCTGTCCCATTCGATTGGATAACGCTGTCCTATTTGGGAAACCGAAATGTGTTTGAGAATACGACAGGCCTCAGCTTGTGTGCATATAAGACGGGGAAATAAAACCATGTCTTTTATTCCAAAAATTAGTTTTTTTAGGTGAGAATAAGAGCTTGAGTTTTTACCATAATAATGTAATCTCAGTGATGGTTTTTGCACGTAAACAGAACTAATGGCACATGAATTATGGGCAGATATGTACGCACCACGCAAGCGGTTCTCCCAGCTGTGCGCCTGTGATTTGTCTCTCTGTGTTGGCAGTTATGTCCGATTTAGTAAAAGCTATATTCCACTGTGTTACTAGAAGCTTTGGTTTTTTAAGCAGCTAGGTTTTATGTACTTCCCTTTACTGCCTCCATAAAGAGCGGAGGAAAGAGCCGAAGGTGGAGTATAAATGAACCGAAGCCAAGCATGGCTTTGTGCAGGCGGAAGGCAGAGAGGCTCCGAGCACAGGCACGCCTGATGCAAAGCCCCGATCTCCACGAACCCGTTTATTTATGAACAAGAGAAATTAAACTGATGCGGCATGACCCCATGCATCCCTCACATTTCCCCAAAGCTCCCTGGTCCACACAAGAGACAGCTTTTGAGAGCTCATTGGTATGCGTTTACCTGGCACGCTTCTGTCCTGGATCATGTGTACCGTACGTTTTTTTTTTTTTTTTTTAACTCCCTGAGATGGTTTAAAAGTGAACATTGTCGAAGGAAAAACTATTACGTACCAAAGGACTTGTGCATTTTAGCCAAAGTATGTTTATAAAGATTAACAACTAAAAAGTATTTGGTTCTTTAGTTGCTTTCTCACCCCTTCCCCCCAGTCTGTCCGATGCTTCTGTCTCTGGATCTACTTTTGTTCATCATTATATCCCACAGATGAGTGAGATCATGTGATATTTATCTTTTTCCGACTGGCTTATTTCTCTTAGCATAACGCTCTCCAGGTCCATCCATGCTTTTGATAAGTATAACCAATGGACACTGACAGTAGTGGGTGAGGGTATGTGCTGGGGGGTGGAAGTGACCGAATATATATATATATATATATATATATATATATATATATATATTTTTTTTTTTTTTTTGTGAGAGAGAGAGAGAGAGAGAGAGAGAGAGAGAGAGAACACAAAAAATAAAAATAATTTTGGAAAATGTGTCTATTCTAATGTAAGTGTTCTTCAAGTGACTTTGTTAAGGATGTAAGAGAGCAGATGATTAAATCATTGATACTAAAATTCCATAGTTGAAGGTTTCTGTATGATTGCCTACAACTTCACTCAATAATAAATAATTAATAAAACCTAAACAAATAAAAAAAGTATTTGGTCTAAGGAATTAATTGCATTAAATATGTGAAAAATAAGTCAAAGGAAAAATGACTTTTTGGAAAAGTTTAAGTATATATTAATTAATCAGAAAACATTAACCATTTGAAATTCTTGCTGGAAGTTTTCTTTTTTTAATTCATTGTTTCAACTGTAAGTTAAATAAGTGTCCAATGAACAAATATATAAGAGCTCCCAAATTTTCCCTTATTTATAAAATCAAAAAACTGCCAAGTCGATTAATAATATGAGAGAGAATTAAAAGTGAAATTATCTTAAATGTGATTATTTTATCCCCTAAGAAAGGAAATTAAATGCTAGCCACCAGGTCATCATAGGGAGATGCTGTGGACCTTCCTCCCAAAATCTTTATGTCAATGAATTGGGGTTAAATGTCATCTAACCAAACTTTAGTTTTCAGGGATGCCTTCTCTGAGATGTCACAGGAAGAGCTAAATATATATCAAATGTAGGAGAAATGGAACTAAGTGCTGACTTAGCCTTGGTATCAATATGGTGTGTTTTCTGGGGGGATTTACACCAACTGTGCAGATTATTATGATCTCTGAATGCATAATAATCTGGCCACTTAATATATATTTTAGAGGCCTGAGCACGAAAATCATGTATGTGGGGGAGGGGTTTATCCCTCAGCCCAGACTGCACCCTCTCTAATCTGGGACATCCCTCTTACAATCCAGGACCACTGGCTCCCAACCATTTGCCTGCCTACCTGCCTGATTGCCCCTAACCACTTCTGACTGCCAGCCTGACCACCCCCTAACCATTCCCTTGCCTGATCAATGCCTAACTGCTCCCCTGCTGGCCCGATTGCCCTTAACTGCCCTTCCTTACCAGCCTGGTCAACCCCAACTTACCTCCCCTGAAGGCCTGGTCCCCCAACTGCCTTCCCTTGCAGGCCTGGTTCCCCCAACTGCCCTCCCCTGAAGGCCTGGTTGCCTCCAATTGCCCCCCCCCCCCCCAGGTACAGGCCTGGTCACACCCATCTACCCTCTCCTGCAGGCTTGGGTTCTCCCTAACTTCCTCCCTCACAGGCCTGGGTCCCCCCTAATTGCCCTCTCCTGTTGGCCTGTTTGCCCACAACTGCCCTCCCCTGCCAGCCTTCTTGTGACAGTCATCTTATGTCCACATGGGGACAGCCATCTTTGACCACATTGTGGCAACTGTCTTGTGTGTGGGAGTGATGGTCAATTTGCATATTACTCTTTTATTAGATAGGATTTGGCCAGTCTGCCTGCTGATCAAACTCTTGGTCAAGGGGACAATTTGCATATTAGCCTTTTATTATATAGGATATACACTGAGTGGCCACATTATTATGGCCATGTTATTATACACTGAGATCATAATAATCTGGCCACTCAGTGTTTATCAACCAGGGTGGGATGTGCCTTCAAGGTTAACATCAACCGATACTTACTCTCCAGAGCTGCCACTTCTTGTCACTTTTGTCTCCAGTCTCTGCTGCTCAGGCTTCTGCAGAGCTGGCTTGTGCCACAATCATAGCTCCTTTCCCCAAGAACTACCAGTCTCCTTATCGAGAATTTGTTTTCTGGACAATTGTGATAACTTCTATTCTTGAAGTTGTCAATTCTTTACAATCAGCAAATTTAAGTGATAGTAACAATTTAAAATCAGTTAATCAGCATACAAGGTGATGGGCTAAAATCATATAGCCTCACTTATTTTTTTCTTCCCCCCCCCTTTGTTGATTAAGGTATTATAAAATGTGTCCTTATTGCCTCATTGCCCCCCCGCTCATCCCTCTACTCCTGCCCTCCCCCTCCTCCCCTGTGTCTGTATCCATTGGTTATACTTATAATGCATGCATACAAGTCCTTTGGTTGATCTCTCTCCTTCAGACCTGCCTTCTCCTGCTTTAACTTTGAGATTTGAGCTTCTGATCAATGCTTCTCTGTCTCTAGATCTATTTTTGTTCATTGGTTTATGTTGCTCATTATAATCCACAAATGAGTGAGATCATGTTATTTTTTTTTCAGTATTGGTAATTAACATGATTTTAAATGAAAAAAATATTTCAATATAAATTTAAAAGAGATGTTGATTTTTTTAAAAATATATATTTTATTGATTTTATACAGAGAGGAAGGGAGAGAGATAGACAGCTAGAAACATCGATGAGAGAGAGTCATCGATCAGCTGCCTCTTGCACACTCCCCACTGGGGATATGCCCGCAACCAAGGTACATGCCCTTGACCGGAATCGAACCCGGGACCTTTCAGTCTCCAAGCCGACGCTCTATCCATTGAGCCAAACCGGTCCCGGCGAGATGTTGATTTTTTATTGAAGTCTCAAGTATGCTTTTATTTTGCTTTGATTACCTTTATTCCCATGATTATTTACTTGGATTTTAGCTCACAATTCTGGGGATTCCTTTAAAACCAGGATGCTCTATATATCTTATTGCTTGGAACATCTCTTATTTGAAGCTATTTCAAACATTATAACACATAATTGTCTTCCACTCATTAAAATTATCTTTTTATTTTTACTATTTTATGAACTTTTAAACTATTTATGAAGCAAGGATTATAGAAAACATGGTGTTCGTAAAAGGAGATTTAGTCTTTCGGTGAGATAATGTTAATATGTTAAGGGATAATGTAGTCTTTTTATTCTAGAAATCAGAAATTTAGCAACTGAATATGCCTATATAATTGAAATTATATATTTATTTATGTCAATGTCATGATTTTGAGTTTTGTTGTTTAACTTATAAAACCAATATTTACATGCAAAATGGTTGCTGCCTTCAATTGTGTTAACTTCTGTTATAATTAGCAAGCTAATCTGAAAAGGGGAAAGATGGGCTAAAGTATTTTAACCGAATCAGAGTTCCCATGCTCATTGATTCATCATATCTAAAGCTTTATTTATTTTTTGCTGGTTGGGAATATTTCAAGAGACTTTATTTGAATAGAATTGTCTGATCTTATATGTATCACTTATTTTTTTAAAAATGAACAGCAGCAGATTTTCTAAGAAGTAGTCATACATTTTTCTATAACCAATGCTGTAGATATAGAAAAAGAATTATTTAAATTCATACATATGTGACATTTCCCCAGACTTCATTGAAGTGACTAGAGCCTCAATTCTGGGCTCATTGCATTGTAAATTAATTTCTTTCTAAAACTGCGTTTAGGTACTCATTTGTTTTATAAGCTCGGTTGTATATACTCCAAAAATAAATTCTTGAACTTGGATGAATAACACTCATTTCGCCTTCGTTTACCCAGTGCTGCTGCTGCAGCTGATGGTATTGATCCATTAGTAAACACCCTGTCCAGTAAACGAGACGGAGCCGTGGCCAACGCCGCCACTGTGCTGACCAACATGGCAACGCAGGAGGCTCTGCGCATGAACATCCAGAGCCGCGACATCATGCACGCCCTCATCGGCCCGCTGCATTCCGCCAACATCGTCGTGCAGAGCAAAGCCGCTCTCACCATCGCTGCGATTGCGTGTGATGTTGAGGCCCGGGCAGAGGTGAGTGTTTTCATAACATCTGCTCTCATTTTTCTGGTCATTACTTATGGGTGGATCGATGTGAAACATTTTCAAATGTTTGAACTGATCCATCATTTAAGTTTTTTAAAATTGATGCAACGCTTTGGAAAACAAATGGGGATTATCTAACAAAGAATGTGTGCAGGCCTTGTAGACCTGCAGTTCTGTTTCTAAATCTATATCCCTAAGGCAATCCCTTGCCTCTAAGCTACAAGAAGCATTGTTTATAATATCTAAATAACTGGAAACAAACCAGTTGTCCCACTTTTAAGAGAGTGGGTGAATAAATTATGGCATATTCATAAAATGGGATCTCACAGCAGTAAAAATGAATGAACTGTTGCTACAGACAACAGCCGAGATGAATTTCAACAAGCTTAATGCTAAGGAAAGGCTGGTTGTGAAGAATGTATCTTATGATTCTGTTTATCTACCATTCAGAAATGTGCTAAGAAATGTGCTAATGAAGCTAAGAAGTTGTTTAGACACACAAACATACATACATACCTAGCAGTTAGAGATATAAAGAAAAGACAGAGAATGATCAATGATCAACCCCACGGTCGAAAGAGTGGTTTCCCTTTGGGGGATTAAGGGTGTGGATGTGATTCAGAGGAGCACCCAGGAGTTCAAGGATATTGAAATGTGCCATTTCTTAAGCTGGTGGTAGACGAACAGGTATGCTTTTCACTGTGATTCTTAAAAGTACACATATGAGTTATACATACTCTCTTGTTTCTCATATTGCAAAAATTTAAAACATAGTATTGCATTTTTCTGCAAGTCCATCACATAAAAGTGTGTTTGGTCCTTGTGGTTGACTCTATTAAGTCTTCGTAAAGATTTCATATAATCTTACAAGCCTCCATTTACTTCTTGCTTTTCTCATATTCATTTGTCAGCCCAGCACTCATTCAAACAGCCTAGCACTTTGTTCCTCTCTCTTCAATGAAAGGGACAGTAGCTGTCATTTATTGAGCACTTAATATGTGCCAAGCACGTTACATTCATTTAAGCCCCACTTGAAACAGGTATGTTTGTAATTCCTGTTTTACAGATGGAACAGCGAGGCTTAAATAAACGCTGTGCTCCAAGCCGATGTGCTATGTACTAGATCAAGGTCAGAGCCCATCCTCTCACACTGTGCCATCTGCCCAGACAGCTATCAAGTCTTTCCTCATCTGTCCCTTACATTTCTGTTCTATCTCCCTTCTTTGTGCCCATTAACTCAGTTCATTTGTTTTCATCCAGTAAAGTAGTAAGGTAGTCACCAAGTATTTACTTACCATCTACCATGTGCCAGGAACTATGCTAGGGTCGGGGGATACAGTGATACACAGAAGTATCTTGGTCATACCTTGCAGAGTAGTCCATCTACTTCCTGGAATATTGCAGCTTGCTCTTTAATGGGCTTCCTGCCCCTGTCACCTCCTCCTCCCGAGATTTCCTCCAGGCTGACCTTCCAAATATATGAGCCTCCTCACATCATTGCAAGTCCCCGGTGGCGTGCAGCTGCCTGTGGTAAAAGTTGAGCTGCTTAGAGTGATATGCCAGGGCCCTCCGTGAGGCACGCCTGCCTGAAGTCTCTTCCTAAGTGGAGCTCTGTGCTATTTGTAATTCTCTGTGTACCCTGTTCTCTCATTTATACCTTCTGGTTTCCTCTGCTTGGCAAGCTAACTTCCCTTTTGTCATCCTGATAAAACTTTAGTTTTCTCCTTTAAACCCCAGCTCAGCAGTCTTCTTTTATGAATTTTTCCTTCAGTCCTCAAACGTAGGTGGTCCCACTTACACCCTACGCAGGCCTCCCTGGTCCTCCGTTCTATACTCTGTGGACCTCTTATGAAAGATGATAATAAGCTTCTTTAGGGAAGGGAACTGAAGGCTTTCTTCCTCGTGCCCATGTCGTACACACACCTGTGAGATGACTAAATAAAATGAAGGAATATATGGAGGACTGGAGGAGTGAGTGGAGGGGTGAATAATAATTATATCTTTGACAAAAGAACACATGGACTTAGATTACTACATATCTTGTGTTATACTCAGAAGTAAAAGTGTTCAGAAATTTGGCCTGCCACACACAGATGCTTCAGGATATTCTTCTAAGCTTTCCACATCACCTATTCTGCCATGTAGTCTCTGCCGGAGCCCCTTCGTTTGAGAAGGAAATGACTGAAAGTAGATCCTGTTCCTCGGGGACTCTTGTCCTTAGGCACACTTATACAGGCGGGCAGGGTACTATTTTTGTGTTCTGGGCTCAGATATAGAGTATTGCATTTCAGACAGTGAGATGAGCATTGTCTAATCTGTGCCGCACCCGGCATGGGCAGGTTTGGTGAACCTGAGGAGGGGAGGGTGAAGGATTAAAGAAGGCAGACTAGAGAATACAGCTGGGGCTCCGTGGGACCCTGCTTCTCTGGTGTAGAGACAGTTCCACCGCCTGCAAACCCAGTCTTTATTTTATAGTCAGAGCACACAAAGCAAAACAAGGATAGCGGTCAACATGTTTACAATGTTCTTGCGAGTTTCACCTTGTTTTGGCAGCACTTGCTGCTCCGCTCACAGCCCATTAGCTGTCTAGGAAGGAACTAGGGAGGACTATAAAGCGAAGCTTAGTTATGCTGAGAGGGCTCTGCCCTCCAAGCCGGGACTTGTTTGTGGCACTGATACAGGTCAGTCCGAGGCTTGACCCTATAGCTGCTTCCTACACAAATCTCTTTTTCTGGTTGGAATAATTTTATATGTAAGCAATTTATTTTAATAATGTAATATAGTTCTGTCGAGTTATCTTATTATTTTCTTCTCTTTTTGGCTTTTTGGAGAAATGAAGAAAAGACAATGTGTAAGGACAACAGAAACTGGTCTCTTTCTAGGGAATTGCTCAGCATTGCTTTGGCCACGCTGCCAGCGCAGTACAGTGTCCACAGACACAGGCGGCTCTTGCCTCCAGCAGTTCCTCCTGTCCAGCCTTGGAGACTATATGTTTCCTTTTCCTGCCATAACAGATCACCACGACTTAGTGGCTTTAAATCAATACTAACCCACTGCCTTACAGTTTGGGAGGTTAAAAATCTGAAAATAGGCTAAAATCAAAGTGTTGGCAGAGCTGTGCTCCTTCTGGAGACTTCAGAGGAAAACTCATTCCCTTAGCCACGGCCCCTTCCTCCATCACTCTAACTTCTGGTTCCACTTGTCCCCTTTCTCTGTGCCTGCCACTCTTGTACCCCACTTTTAAGGACCCTTATGATTACATTGGCCCTATCTAATAATACAGGACATCGTCGTTAGCTTAACACATTTGCAAAACCCCTTCTAAAAACAAGGACTTCTTGGTCTACCTTGGGGCCAAATGGACATTCAGTATTGAGGAGCCCACAGGGCATCTCACTTGTGGGAGTGAGAAGATGGCTCTTTCCCCAGTCCCCACGCTGTGCAAAATCACCGTGACCTCCCTTGATTGCTTTACTGTTGCCTCTTCTTGACTTTGAACAGAAAATTGAGGTTTTGTTTGTAAGGGTATGTGATTGATTTTGCCCCCTACATTTAATACATTTAATATCTTAAAATGTTTTTACATAGTTGCAATCTTTAAACAACCTAATAATGAGATTAATTTTTTTTTGAAAAGCATAATGCTTATATTCTGGACTTTTAATGCATACAATGTTGGTGTCCACTTTTAGTTAAGAAATTCGGGTGGGTTGGAGCCCCTCATAGAGCTCCTGCGCTCCAAGAACGATGAGGTCAGAAGGAACGCCAGCTGGGCCGTGATGGTCTGTGCCAGCGATGAGCTGATGGCCGGTGAATTATGCAGGCTCGGGTGAGTGGGGGTGTCTGAAGTTGCTGGCTCAGATGAAGAGCACACTTTTCAGGCAAAAGGAAGGTCAGGCAGAGTCTACACAGCCCCCCTCAGGTCTAGGGAACACTTAGGGCGCTGCAGGTCACAACAAGAGAGGGACTGCCTGGTGTAAGGAAGGTCCTTTCCTCCTCCCCACCTTTATAAAATCATGTCCAACATTTCCTTTTCCACTTTTTCATCTTGAGAAATGCTTTTTTCATTTCCCTCAACTATTGTTACACAACCCTATCTGTCCCTCAGCTTTCTAAAATAAAATGGGTGAGCCCTGATGACCGTTCCATTTTGCTCCTTCCCAGATCTGAATCTTTCCATCAGAACCCAACATTTGGCCAGCTCCCCAGACGCAGTTCCTTACCCGTGACAGATAGGGTTTTTAGCATATCAGTAGTATTAGATTTCACAGACAGGATTACCCTATTTCCCAAACGTTTTTATTCTCTGTATATATTGCCTGCTTAGTTGCAAAAGTTGGAGTCAAATACTAATTTTGCTTTAAATGAAGAATTTTTTTTTTCTTTCTGTAAGTGTCCTTTTCAACTTTTTGAATATGAGTAACTACAAGGTATATATGTTTTCAGAAAGACTGATTTATCTCCATAATGACAGTATTATTATACTTTATCTAAAAGGGTGGGATGGCTGTAACCTTTCCATTGCATTCAGGATCTTGGCTAGGTAGGTAAGTGAGAACTTAATCTTGGGTGGCTTATATATAGCAAATAACGCCTTTTGCTTTTATTGACAGGGCTTTAAATATCCTTGAAGAAATTAATCTATCAGTAAGTCGAAAAAATAAATTCAGTGAGGTAGCTTATAACAAATTGCTCAACAACCACCTGTCTCTGAAATACAGCCAGACTGGCTACTTGTCATCAACTAACATCATTAGTGACGGCTTCTATGATTATGGCCGGGTAAGTGAGAGCACTGACTTGTATTTTAGTATTTATGTATGATAAGAATTTCTTCCTTAATCATGATGCCATTACATAGCAATTTCATAACCACCTAACATTTTTTTTTTATTTTTACAGACTGTCACTTGGTAATCAGAACTTCATCCTTAACTTTGTCTGTCTACCAGATTTTTGCCTTTGCATATACTTTTAACTAGAATCTGATTACTTTTACTTAAATCAGCTTGCCAAGTTGGTTCAAGTTTCAGAGGAGATATGAAAGAATTAGCATTTTCAGTTTGGGATTCTGTTATTTCCAAGGCTCAATGTTAGTGATAAGGACATAAGTATAAGTTTTAAATTTTACCCTCAAATAACTGAAATTAATCAATTGTAGTACTGGATTTTAAAATGTAATATAGAAAAAGAATGTTTTACTTACCTGCATTTCTGATTATGATTTTTAAAACAACTTACACTGCCATTCAGTGTTAATGTTGGCAGAAACGGGAAGCTAAAAATTAGAATCTTGAGGACTTTTTGGCATTGCTTTTGGGCATTAAACCAGTGTTTTCTTCTTCTTCTGGAAACCAAAAGTAAAAGCAATAAGAAAAATTAAGAACATTTTAAAATCCACAGATTCCACCAAAACTGGTTTGGCTCAGTGGTAGAGCGTCGGTCTGCGGACTGAAAGGTCCCGGGTTCGATTCCGGTCAAGGGCATGTACCTTGGTTGCAGGCACATCCCCAGTAGGGGGTGTGCAAGAGGCAGCTGGTTGATGTTTCTCTCTCATCGACGTTTCTAGCTCTCTATCTCTCTCTCTTCCTCTCTGTAAAAAATCAAAAAAATATGTATTTTTTAAAAATCCACAGATTCCATTTTAGGCAAAACTAAGAAACATATATGATCCTCAGACTTCAAACAAATTTAAAAGTTACTAAAAATCCCTGAAATCAGGCAGAAGCTGTTCAAAAGGAAGAATGAAAAGGAAATAGAAAGCACAAGAGAGCTGGTGGTGGCAGATCTCAGAAAATACCATAAAAATATATACTTCCTGCCCATCTCTATAGCCTTGTCGTTGAGAGTCAACCTATGAACCAGGAGGTTACGGTGCAATTCTTGGTCAGGGCACATACCTGGGTTATAGGCTCAATTCCCAGTGTGGGGTGTACAGATGACTATTTCTCGTCATTGATGTTTCTCTCTCTTCCTCTCTGAAATCAAGATATATATATATATATATATATATATATATATATATATATATATATATTTCAAATATCCTGTCTTATAAGAGATTAATATGCAGATTGACCATCACTCCAACACACAAGATGGCTGCCCCCATGTGGTCAGACATGGCTGCCTCCATGTGGACACAAGATGGCCATCACAAGATGGCCAGCAAAAGAGGGAGGTTGGGAGGGACCAGGCCTGCAAGGGAGGGCAGTTGGGGGCGAACAGGCACGCAGGCAACGGCAGTTGGGAAGGAACCAGGCCTGCAGGGGAGGGAAGTTAGGAGTGACCAGGCCTGCAGGGGAGGGCAGTTAGGGGCAGTCTGGCTGGCAGGGGAGCAGTTAGACATCAATCAGGCTGGCAAGGGAGTGGTTAGGGGGTGATCAAGCTGGCAAGCAGGCGAGCAGTTGAGAGCCAGCAGTCTCGGATTGTGAGAGGGATGTCGGACTGCCCAATTGGGCCTAAATGGGCAGTCAGACAGCCCTTGAGGGGTCCCAGATTGGAGAGGGTGCATACTAGTCTGAAGTACCCCCCCCCCCATGCACACATTTCTTACACCAGGCCTCTAGAATGTTTGTGTGTGTGTGTGTGTGTGTGTGTGTGTGTGTGTTTCCTGAGGTGATGGTAGAACTCAGAAGCACCAATGGAAACACTGTTCCAGGCGAGTTCGGGACCAGGAGCTGGGGTGGGCAAGGCCACAGCAGAAGTCCTCTTGGACCAGATTGGTCCAAAGAAGCAGAGGAGACAGGGCCATCCTAAGAACTCCAGAGCTAAGCCACATTTCCAGGAAACACTCTATTATGGTAACAGAATTAGAGGTATTTTGAATAAGGAAAAATAGCTATACTAAAATTTTACTCTAGCTCCTGCTTCTGCTTCCCCTGGCCACCATCACCATCATAACATAGAACAAACCCCTACAATGCACGTACAAACTGCTGAGCGGTGGCTCTGAGGAAGCTCCTTATGGTTCTGAGGAAGCTCATCTCATTGATTACTCTTTTTTTTTTTAATTGGCACAATAGTAATATAAAGATGCTTTAAGAAAAATGAGGGAGAAGAGCAGAAAAACCAGCAATGAACATAATAGAAAACCATTGCCTTGGATCAGAAAATGATGAAAAATTTTATCTTGTTCATGAGTTTTTTTAAAAGTTAACCTGTTAACCAGGGAGTTCCCTTTTTAATTACGCAACGTACAACGGGCGCATACTCTTTAACTAGGATGTGTCAGTACGTCACGACGAAATTTTATATTATTATTTTTTTATTTATACTTAATTAAAATAAATGAAATATATATTTTCATTTACTTATATATAAAGCACAAAGGAAAATACAAAATTACAAAACAAGTAGAAAAGAAACCAAAAAAATGGAAACATCGAGTTAAAAAATTATAAATTTTATAAACAATTATAAAGATTACAAAAAATATATATTTTTATTTCTATACACTATAAAAAATATAAAAAAGTTAACAATTACAGAACAATAAACAAAAGCACACAAATAAAATAGAAATATTGAGTTTAAAAAATTGAAATATAGATGTAAAATTCAAAACTCAACTTCCGTGTGATATATTTTAAAACAATTGTTGATACATAGTGCTACCTTACAATCCGGACACCAGTATGTAGATTCTTTCCTAACACCTTTTTTTGTAGCAAACTCAGCATTTCCTGGATTTAGTTTTTTCTATATCACTTTTAATTTGTTCTGGAAAATGCCTTTCAACTAAGCGTGATGGTTTAGATGTAGAGCTGCTTGTTGATGTCTTTGGGTGGGTTTTCACTATGTTGTTATCTACCAATTTCTCTACACACTCTATCAAAAAGTGTAATTGATCCAAATGACCTTTATCTTTTTTGTATATAATATATGCATTGAAGCAGCATATATCAATTAATCGTAGAAAAAATTTTTTATAAATTTTTGTAGATATATAAAAATTTTTGTAGATATATAAAAATTTTTATAAATTTTTTTTATCCAATTACGGGCAGCCGTGTAGGCCACCATAACTCCATCTCCCAGATCTACGCCGCCCATTTTCTTGTTATAATCCAGGACAACATTCGGTTTTTCTTGCCTTCTTCCTCTCTTTTCAATCATTGTCTTTTCGTCATTATGAATAGAACTGAGCATCAATACGTCTTTTTTATCCTTCCATTTTAAAACCGTAAGTTTGTCTTCGATTCTTACATATGTTCATTTTTCTGTAATTTTTTTGTTTTTATTTCACTGGGGATTCCGACTCTGTTTATCCTCATTGTTCCAACAATGTCTGTATTGTTTTGACACAAGAGTTAAGCCAAATGAATTGACGTATAGAAATTATCTAACTAAATCCTATACCCTTTATTCAGTAAGTCATGTGTTAACTCCAAAACAATTCTTATTGATTGTTTTTCTTGTGGGTAGTTCGAACCATAATTTGTGTCCTTGCCTGTGTATAAAATTATATTTTGTACATATCCAGATTGGCTTTCACTCAAAATAAACAACTTCATTCCAAATCTAGCTCTTTTTGTAGATATATATTGTTTCCAAGATAAATTCCCTTTTCCATAATAAAAGAGATTCATCTACGCATATTTCTCATTCACATACATAAAAACTTTTAAACTTTTCTGACAAATTAATTGATGATTGGATCAATTTTATATGTTTTTTTATTATATAAAGGTTGGAGATATAAAAAATATAAGTAAATAATATATAACACGAAAATAGGTAGGTAAGTGTAAGTACGTACCCGTCACTGCTCACCCAGAACACGTCCACCACTTTCAATAGCGAAATTATACTGATTCCCTCCATGTCTTAAATTCATGTGGAGACATGTATGGATGACTAATACCTTTGTTGTTCGGAAATATACATCCCACCCGTTTCAGGGTGTAGCATATATTTCAAAGACGTATTCATACGTCCTACCAGTACCCGATATTGTTTACATTTGACATATTTATACGTCCCGCTCGGTTAACAGGTTTAAGGAGACAGGCTGAAACCGGTTTGGCTCAATGGATAGAGCATCGACCTGTGAACTGAAGGGTCCCGGGTTCGATTCCGGTCAAGGGCATGTACCTTGGTTGCGGGCACATCCCCAGTAGGGGGTGTGCAAGAGGCAGCTGATCGATGATTCTCTCTCATCGATGTTTCTAGGTCTCTATCCCTCTCTCTTCCTCTCTGTAAAAAAATCAATAAAATATATATTTTTTAAAAAGTTAAGGAGATAATATCCTTTATAAAGAAGAATTCTCTGATTCATCCAAAAAATGTTAAATTTCTAGTATTGTAGGCTCTGAATATGTCAGTGAATAAAAAGAGTCAAGGATCTCTACTCCCGTGGCACCAGTGGGAAGAGGCAGACAATAAACAATAAAGATCACATCTACATAAATTACAGCACAAAATAAAAATAAGAGCTACGGGGGAGAGGTAAGTAGAGCAGAGGCAGGATAAGGGGTTTCTGTAGTGCCAGGGCAGACTGGGGTTGATGGTTGTAATTTTTAAAATTGTGGTCAGGGCCGAAACCGGTTTGGCTCAGTGGTAGAGCGTCGTCGGTCTGTGGACTGAAAGGTCCCAGGTTCGATTCCGGTCAGGGGCATGTACGATGTTTCTAGCTCTCTATCTCTCTCCGTTTCTCTCTGTAAAAAAAATATTTTTTAAAAATAAAATAAAATAAAATTGTGGTCAGGGAGGCCTCACTCAGAGGTAATTCCTGAGCAAAAAGTTGAAGGTACAGGTCTTAGCCACAGGGATACCTGGGGGAAGAGCTTTCTAGGCAGAGGAAACTGGTGCGGAAGCCATCGAGTGCAAACACACTTGGCATATTTAAGAAATAGCAGTCATTGCAGTTGGAGCTGAGGGAACTAAGGGGCGGAAGAATGGAGAGCAGATCAGAGATGAAGAGAGGCCAGGTCATGTCAGTCCTGTAAACCATTAGAAGGGTTTTGGCCTTTACTCTGAAGGATCTATGAAACTTTGGCAGAAGAATGAAATGATCTGTTTTATTTTAAAAGGACCATGAAAAGCATCTTGGATGAGAGAGGAATCTAACTATTATATATCGATAGTTGGAAATGACCTCAGAAGGTGATCTGGTCTAATCTTCTTCACCAGGCTCATAAAATTGCTAAGTGTAGAGCTTTGTCTAACCTATTTTCAGATAGTCTCACAAACTTTTTTTTAATAATCTGTTTAGTAACTAGTTACTTTTTCAGACAATAAGTTCTCCCTTATGTATATAGATGGATTTTCAAACTCAGATACTTTCAGGGGCCAAATTGATCATATGGTGTGAAAGAGCTGAGAAGAAAGCAACAGAGATTGTGGGGAACTGGAGAGATATAATCTGCTCAAAGACAAGATATCCACAACCCCAGGTTCCTATTTCTAAGTGTGTGTGTGTGTGTGTGTGTGTGTGTGTGTGTGTGTGTGTGTATGTATGTGTAAAATCATACACTTTAAACTGTTGAGAACATATTGTAACAGCAGTCATATTAAAAAAAATATATAACCCATGCTGATATTACTTTACAATCTTTACATTATCCACAGATAAATCCTGGCACCAAATTTTGGCCTTTGAAGGATCTCTGCTTACAAGAACCAAATGACCTACGTACTATACTCTTGGTTAACAATAAATCTGATGTGTGAGTCTTTGGGGGAAAGAGGGATACAGGGAAGCACACATACTTTTGCTTGTCCATCCTCATGTGACTGTGTAAAGATCTCCAATATGGTATCTTTCCTTTCCCCTGTGTATCAGGCACCATGGAAATGAACACCGATCCATAAATTCATAGCCTGACATAGTAAAGTCAGGAAGAGCACTATGGTTTTCCCTCTGACTCCGTGTTACCAGCCAACCCCACATGTATTTCAGCAGCCAGGGCCTCTTGCTTTTCTGGTGACATGAAGTAATTGAAGAATGTATAACCAGATAGGAGCAAACCAAGCAACTATCCGGAACTGTATGCCAGTGTCCAACACCCCTCTTTAAATGGTCACATGTATCTCTATAACACATTGTATGGGACACACTTTATAAACATATGTCTTATTCTAGTTCATAGAAAGCTTTATAATATTTCTTGTCTTATTTCAATCTCTCCTCTATGCTTTTAAATTGATGTCACTGTTAAGAGTCAACTCCAAATATGATTTCCTGGGAAGAAATCTGTTTTGTAGGACAAAGCCAATATTGATGAGTGAATTATTTTAATTCATCCATAATTTCAAATATGTAAAATTGTAGCTCACCTCCATCTACGGAAGATAAATCCTCAGAAGTTGGATATGGGCGAAGTATTTCTTCTTCCTCTTCTTTAAGAAGACCTAGTAGAGAAAAGGCCAGGTAAGAAAATGATCTTTTATCTATGCTCAAATAACTCTCCTCTTAATTTGGGAGTAAAAAAAAATTAGATTTTGGCAACCATTCTTTGATTCTTCTTAGAGTAATATAACTTCATAGTTGTTTTTTAAATAGCTATGGAAAAGATCTCTGGAAAAGGAGGCAGGAAACCTGGTTTGACATTCTGTCTGCTGTGAACCCACAGTGAGGTCTTGAGCCCATGAGTTAGAGTCTGTGAGCAAGCTTAGTTTCTTCAGCTGTAAATGAAAGCCTGGTGCCCGCTTTGTAATTGTGAAAGGAATTAAATCATATAAGAGAAGTGAAAATACCTTATAAATTATTAAATGCCTTCAAATGTCATGTATTTTTCATATGGTTGTAATTGGTTGTGGTTGTTTACATATGACAAGAAAAAATGTTATTATTTTAGCGCTGGATTTGGATCTCCCATAGAAGATAAATCGGAACCTGCTTCTGGACGAAATACTGCTGCTAGCAAAAGCGCCACTAAAGAAAAAGCATCAAGGTGAGAAATGTGGTACTTACTCTTCTAACTGTTATCAGGCCAAGTTTTCATTATCCCAAAAGAAAGTTGGTGAAAGGGAAGGGCGGTTTTTAAATAGGAAGCTCTTCTTGTGGCATCAGTATGTTGTACTAAACAGGACTCATGAAATGTAACTAAAATTAACTTTACTTTTGTCTCTCACTGTCTCTCAAATTTACCCAGAGGGATTTCTTCTGCCTCTAGGTGAGAACTCAGGTCATTTGATCATTAGTAAGTCCTACAGTCACTTTAATTCAAAAATGACAACAGAAGCATTCTCTAGTCAGTCATTTAAAAGCCCAACCCAGGGTAGTAATCAACTGGGGGGGAAAAAAAACAAAACACTTTTCTGTCCTGTTCCAGCGGCTGTCTCTGCAGGTGGCAGCACATGGGCTGGAGAGCGTCCTCTCTCTCTCCCTGCTGTGTGCACCCCGCCCTGGCCTGCCCCACCCCACCACTTACTGAGGTCTCTGACCCCGCAGGAAGCTCTGATGGGGAGACTAGGGAAACAAGACCAACTTCTTCTTTGGTTGAAACACGTAGAATGTGATTTTGTGTTTTTCAAGCCTGCCATACTTTAAACATTCTTCCTACTTGTTTACATATTTTAAAATATATTCTTTCTCTGTGAGCACTCTCCTGGACTCTTCAAAAACCACCGGCACCTCCTGCCACACTCCATAGCCCTTTAATTTTGAGAACTTAAGCCTTCAAAACCACTGTGGAATTGAAGTGTATTCAGCTCTAATCTGGACCAGCTACTTTCTAAACTGGGACTGTCCCCTAAGATCCCTAAGGTTTAGGTCCCCCAGATCGCAAAGCTGTTTACTTTCTGTTTCTGACCTTGTTTTGCATTGTCAGTCTCTGTTGCTCATTATTCTGATCTCTGCTTCTAACCTGCCGCTATCGGTCCAGCCCTGACAATTTTGCCCTTCACTTCCCTTTTCCAATTCACGGGGCCTCTCTGCTTCTCCTCTACTGGACTGAGAGCTCCTTGAGGACAAGAACATGTTCTGATTGAATAATTTCTGTCTTCATCTCCACTATTTAGCACAGTGCTTAGTCGGCATCCTTGCCTGAGTTCCCTCATCAGTAAAACAGAAAAAGTAAATTAACTGACCATACACTAGATTCCAGGAATTGTTCCAGTGTAGGGAAAATAGCAATGAACAAAAAAATTCATCCTCATAGAATTTAAATCCTAGTGGGGAGACAGACAACAAACAAAATAAACCACACATACATACACACACTATATATATATGCACAGTATATCTCCTATCTAATAAAGACAGAACATGCTAATTGACCACACACCCTCACAAAAGATGGCAGTGCTCACAGTCAATAAGGAGAAATATGCTAAGGGACTTCCACACCCTCAAAGATGGCAGCACCTATAGCCACAAGATGATGACGCCCACTCCCCTCAACCCTGCGGGGGCAGCAGGCATGCAGCACAGCCAGGTCTGTAGCACAGCCAGGCCCGCCCCCAGGCAGGGTTAGTCAATCTGTGAGCCTGCCTCCGGAGTCCCCCAGTCCCTTCAGTCCCCCAGCTGCTCAACCGACACCAGGGCACAGGCAAGCCTCGGATGGCAGCTGCCCAGCCGCCCAGGACCACCCAAGGCTCAGGTAACCAGGGCCAGTCAAGGTTTGTTCTGCCATCAGTGGCAGCAGCGGAGGTGTGATGGGGGCATTGCCTCCCCCTGATTGCCAGGTCGTTTCCTGCCCCTGAGAGCTCCAGGACTGTGAGAGGAGTCAGGCCAGGCTGAGGGATCCCCTGCTTCAGTGCATGAACTGGGCCTCTAGTTTTTGTGTATATACTAGAGGTCCGCTGCATGTGTGTATGTGTATATATTAATGCATGAAGATTCATGCAAGAATAAGCCTTCCTTCTCCTGGCTTTGCTCTGGCCTGCCTGGGAGCCTTTGCAAGTCTTTGCTCCTTGCCGCTGCCCAGAAGCCTTTGCAAGTCTTCACTCCTGGTCAGAGCACTGCTCCTATAGTTCCCTTCGCCTCCTCCTTCCCCTTCATAGCAGGCATTCTGCCCCATCCAGCCACTTTCCCCCTGTGTATGCAAATTAACCCACCATCTTTGTTGGGTTGGTTTGCATACTCACTTCTGATTGGCAGGGGTATTGCGGAGGTATGGTCAATTTGCATATTTCTCTCTTAGGGTACATATATACTAGAGGCCTGGTGCATGAAATTCATGCATGGGGGGAGGTGTCCCTCAGCCCAGCCTGCACCCTCTCCAATCAAGGACCCCCTCAGGGAATGGCTGACTGCTGGCTTAGGTCTGATCTTTGAATAGGGCCTAAACTGGCAGTTGGACATCCCTCTCACAATCCAGGACTGCTGGCTTCTAACCACTCCTACCTGCCTGCTGCCTAATTGCCCCTAACCACTCTGTCTGCCAGCCTGATTGTCCCCTAACCGTTCCCCTGCTGGTGTGATTGATGCCTAACTGCTCCCCTGCTGGCATGATCATCCCCAACTGCTCTCTCCTGCTGGCCCAATAGCCCTCAACTGCCTTCCCTTGCGGGGCTGAGGAGACTGGGGGATTCTGGCTGGATGAGGCGGTGCTGAGGGACTGGGGGACTGAGGCTGGATTAGGTGGGCCTGAGTGTACTGGGGGATTAATGCTGGATGAGACTGGACTGAGGGGACTGGATGCCACCATCTTGTGGCTGTGGTCACTGCCTTCTTGTGAGGGTGTGATGGGCAATTAGCATATTCCCTCTTTATTAGATAGTCTCCTCCTAATCTGAATAAACCATATCTTCACTTGATACAATACTTCCTTCTCATTCTGTTGGAATAGACTAGGTGGAAATAGGATAACCAATGGACATTGAACTCCTTGAATTTCTTCTTTTTTTCCACTCAAATGGATTTCATTGAATGCTACTTGGTATTATGATTATTTTTCACCTACCAAAATCTTCCCACCTAAATTGAAACCCCAAGTGGGTTGGATTCATGACTTATTTCTTCCTCCAGCTTTGTTCTATAGTTTATATATTCAACTAGTTGATGATATAAAAATAAAAAAAGATTTAAACTTTGAAAATATCAGTATACAATTTTGGGCCAGACAAATCTATTTAATTACCTACCTACTCATCTCTTATGAAAATAAATAATATCCTAATTGTTTTGGATCCAGGCAGTTAATCTCTGCTTTCTGAGGTCATTTTGGTAAAGTCTCTGCAAGAAAGGTAAAAGTTCTGCTATCTTTAATCATAAATTGATGTTCTTTCTGGTGGTTACTTTTATGGGAATTAATTTTGTAATTTCCAAGTGCTTGTTTCCATATTTATTTAGAAATGAAATTCATGTAGGTATTGAATCCCTTAATAACACAACTTGGCAGCCTTCATGGGAAAGAAGTCCAAATGAAATACTTCTATTCATAGCCACAGGGAAGTAGCATTTAGGAGTTCCGGTAAGTTATCTATTTGTAATCCTCAATGAGACAGCCCTCCCTGAGGTGCTTAGCCCCCTGTGCTGGATTGCATCTTCTACATACTGAATGACGCTTATTGCAGGCAGCACACTCTGAGAGAAGTACACCTCTCCGTTTTACAGGAGGCTCTGTGTAATCTCAGGGTGGAGCTCTTCAGTCTTAAAAACTTAGCCTGTAATTGTAAAAAGCAATGAAATTTAGCTATGCTCTCTACTATTCTAATTGACCTTCCCAGTGTTGGTTCTTAGTGTTGGTTCCTAATTTAGTATGTATGTGATTATATTCAGTTTATCTATTTTACAAAAAAAGAAAGGGTTAAGATGATACCTCTGAGAAATATTAAATTTTGCCTAGAGATTTTAAATTAGATTGTATCTTAGGTTGATATATCCAATGATTTTTTTATTCAGATATTCCCAGTTTTACTGCCAGTGTGTGTGTGTGTGTGTGTGTGTGTGTGTGTGTGTGTGTGTGTGTTTCTGTACAATTTCACACATCTGTAAGTTCATGTGTCTATGAATAAAATGAAGAAAATGTACATTTCTGTCACCACTAGGATCTTTCATGTCTAATTACTTCAGCACAATGTGTTGAAAAGGCTATACTTCTTTCATTGAGTTGCCTTTATATCTTTGTCAAAAAAAAAAGTCAGTTGAGCATATTGGTGGGTCTATTTCTGGGTCCTCTGTTCTGTTGCATTAATCTGTGTGCCCATCTCTCCACCAATAGCATCCTGTCTGGATTCTATAATTGTATAGTGAGCATTGATATCAAGTAGAGAGTTTCTTCCCACTTTATTCTTCTTGGTCAAGGTTGATTTGGCTATTCTGTGCCTTCTTGTATAAATGTTAGAATACGATATTTTTATGTCTACAAAGAAACTCTGCTTGGATTTTGATAGGAGTTACATGAAACCTAGAAATCATTTTGGGGTGAATTGACATCTTTAATATGTTGCATCTTTAAATCTATGAACACAGTATGTTTCATCCTTTATTTAGATCAACAGCATTTTTAATATTCAGCACTCAGATTCTTTACATATTTTGTCAAGTTTATACCTAAGGGTTTACTTTCTTGGAGCAATTGTAAGTGCTCCAGAACTTTTTCACTTTTTAGATGTTTGTTGCTTTTATGTAGAAACACAATTTTTAAAAAATATATTTTATTGATTTTTTTACAAAGAAGAGAAGGATAGAGAGGCAGAAACATTGATGAGAGAAAATCATCGATCAGCTGCCTCTTGCACACCCCCTACTGGGAATGTGCCCGCAACCAAGGTACATGCCTTTGACCAGAATCGAACCAGGGACCTTTCATTCCCCAGACTGACGCTCTATCCACTGAGCCAAACCGGTTTCGGCTAGAAACACAATTTTTGTATGTTGAGCATATATCTTGAAACCTTGATAAACTCGCTTGTCAGTTCTCCTAGACAAGGAGAGTTTTGTTCTCTTAGTAGATTCCTTGGGGTTTTCTACATAGACAATTATGCCATCTGCTTTTAGTTTTTGATAGTTTTATTTTGGTGTGTCTGGAGTAGGGTTTATCTTACTTATACTTACTAAAATTCTTGACTCTCTAAATTTATCTTTAACCAAATTGAGGAAGTCATCTAAGTCCTGATTACTTTTTCTGTATTTCATCTTTCTCCTACTTTTCTGGGTATTTGATGACACCAATATTAAGTCTTTTTTTATCTTACAGCAAGTCCCTGAGACTGTCAGTTTTTTCCCAGTCTTTTGTTTTTTGTGTTGTTTAGATTGGTTACTTTTCAAAATTTGTCTTCAAGTTTATGGATTCATTCTTCTTTTATCTCTATTTTATTAAACTACTTCAGAAAGTTGTATTTTTCTAAGTTTCTGTGTTATATTTTCCAGCTCCAAAATTCTATTTTTATATCTCCTATTTCTTTCTAAAACTTTCTAACTCTCTATTCACTTCAAGAGTATTTGTTACTAATTTCAGCATTTGTATCTGTGCCATCTTGGCATTGATGTCTGTTGATTGTCTTTTCTCATATGAGTTGAGGTTTTCCTAGTTCTTTGTAGGCTGAGTAATTAGATTGTAATATCATGTTTTAAGTGCTACAGTTTTTATTTATGCGTCTTTTATGCATTCTAAGGAGGATATTCCTCTGTGTGTGTGTGTGTGTGTGTGTTTGTGTGTGTGTGTTTAATTGACCCAGTTGCTTTCAGTCTTCAAATTCCAACCAGTGATCTGTGAGTTGTCATCCACAGTCAGGCCCAGGTTCAAAGAGTTGCAGTTTTCTTTGGATCTGCCCTGCTTGTATGCCAACTAGTGTCCAGTTGGGGACTTGGGCAGTGGTCTATCCCATGGTTCCATCTTCAAAACCCATGTAGGTGTTTTCTTGGGTCAGAACCATGCACACAAAGCTTGAGAGTAAGCCTAGGAATCCACAAACAAATGTATATGGTGGCTTTCCTGAGTTCCTTTATCTACACAATCTCCTTTGTCTTTTCTGGTTCATTGGGGCTCCCCTATATATGCTCTGCCCTGATACAGTTTTCCCATGACTGCATCCGTATATACAGCCATACAGCAGGAGATCTGAGACTAAGGCAGACTTAGGCTCTTAGGGGCCCAGATAACACCACTGTCACAGGATTCCTTATGGGCTGTAGCAAAAGAGAATGAGAAAAATAAAGGGGAAAAGGGGCTTTTCTCCACTCCACTGTCTCTTTCCTGTGTCTCAATCAGGCTTCTCCTTGAGCTTTCACGGCCTGTGCTAATGCCTGCTTCCAGATTTGGGGCTATCTTTAGTTCAGCTTATGGAATAGTGGACAAAAATACAGAGTTAGACTCACCAACAGTTCAGTGGTGATTCAGTGTCTTTTCTGATCTTTTTGCTACTAATTATTTTTCAGAATCTTCAAATAGTGATTGCATACATTCTGTCCAGGCTTTAGGATTGTATTCAGTGGGAGAAAGAACCCATGCCATTGTTTATGTTAAACTCATTATTAGAGAGAATCAGTAAGATGACCCAATATTGAGCCAAAGAACATTTGAGAAGCTAGTTACTTAGTTAAGAAATGTTAGAAAAAGACTGACAAATTACAAAACAAAACATACTGTAGGATATTAAGCATTCTATGGAACAATAAATTGTAACCTTTGAAAGTATCTTTTCCATTAGACAAAATAATTTGCATCTTTGGTTAACAAAAACCTATATAATAACTAGTAATTTCTCTAAATCTGGAAATTTTAATTAATATTATATTTTAATTAACTAGTATCTTCATTGTTTACTAAGTATATTTTATTTTTCCTAAGTACAAAACTAAGTACATTTCAGTGGGTAATGGGGGGAGGTGGAAGTGAGTGAAGGAGGGATAAATGGAGACAGGAAGAGACTTAGCTTTGGCAGGGGCGCATGATGCTGTGTGCAGATGATATTTTATTGAGTTGTGCACTTGAAACCTGCATGTTTTATTAACCAATAAATTTAATTTAAAAAATAACTAACTACATTTCTCCAGATAAACTTTGGGTGAGTCTTTGTCCCTGCATGATAAGAATTCTATGCCATCCTTGTTTTGTTTTGCTTTTTTCTATGCTTTCAATAATTTCTCTTAAAAATTGTGATCCACATTCTTCCTTCAGAAGGTGTCAACTGAAGCAAGAGATGATATGAAATTGGCAAAGACTCCATGAGAAGGCAACCTATTTTTTTTTCAATTCAATAAATATTTATTACATACTTATAATGGGCCAGGAATCTTGCTACACAATTGTTCAGAAAACCAATAGATAATTTTCATAATATGTGTGTGTATGTGTGTGTGTGTGTGTTTGTGTGTGTGTTCTCGAAATTAATATCTATTGCAAAGCATAGAAACTCTAAAAATCTATCATTGTCATTGAAAATTTGACAACAATATTGTATAGTCATTGAGATATAAATACTTTATTTCTGGGATGTTCTTTAGATGAACTCAGAGTAGTTTGTGCTTATTCGTTTTGTGATGTTGATGGTTGTTTACTCTTAAAGGAAAAGTAAAGGTAAAAAAGAAGAGGAAAAACAAAAGGAGGAGGAAGAGGCTACAGTGGTACTAAAATGGGCTGGAGAAGGAAACACAGATAAAGAATGGTCCCCTCCTGCTGATCCTGATTTCTGTGTTTATGTGTATGAAGTGACCAAATCAATACTTCCCATAACCAATACAAGGGAACAGATTGAGACTCTTGCAAAGTAAGTGGTTTATATATGCATATACAATTTGTGGAAAATATGTTTTATTTTAGTGGTTCGCATTTTTCAGCCAATTTTTAGACAATGACACCATAATAAAATTGAACTTTATAGTTCCCTACCTCTAACTCTGAAACAGAAATATAATGAATTGGGAGGGAAATTTTTCAATTTCTATTTTAGATCAGATTTCTGCCAATAATCAGAAACAGTAGCTTGAAATTGCCTGAAGAAAAATACCTATGTATATGCCAACTATGTTTTACTAAAATAAATAAATGAGTATAGGCAAAAAATTCCTGTCATTTTTCCAGGAAAACCATGAAAAGCATCTTTCAATCTTAACCTTGAAGAAGTTATAAATAAAATCAAAAGTTTGAAAATGAAACAATTCCCTGGATATATGGGGTGCTCATGATTTAAAGAAATTCTATTGTGAATTATTTGTAAACCCACAAGTTACTTTCTAATACAAATAACCAACCCCTATTTTTATGTTATATGTTTCACATTGCTCTAAAGTGGGAGCATGAGTATTCTAAAATATTTGGGCAGGCTCAGCATTCTGCATAAACAGTGAAGTTACCTTCTTAATTGGAGCAATTAATCTGGTTCCACTAAGACAGTGGTTCTCAACCTTTCTGATGCCGCGACCCTTTAATACAGTTCCTCATGTTGTGGTGATCCCCAACCATAAAGTTATTTTCCTTGCTATTTCGTAACTGTAGTTTTGCTACTATTATGAATTGTAATGTAAATATCTATGTTTTCTGATGGTCTTAGACAACCCTGCTAGCGGGCTAGAGCTGCTGTAGAGCTATCGGAAAACAGATATTTACATTACGATTCATTACATTACCGCAACGTGAGGAACTGTATTAAAGGGTTGCGGCATTAGAGAGGTTGAGAACCACTGCACTCAGAGAAGCTGAGAACTTAACGTGGGAGCTGTAAGGGGTTAGGAGTCACTAGAAGCGGAGAGCCTCCCTGACTGACACCAACCAGCAGCTGAACTACTGGGCTGGCAACAGCTGCGGTCTCCGTGGGAGCTCATAACTCCTCCAAATAGAAGGGAGCTGCAGTCATCAAACCTGGATGCAACAACTGCAAGAAACACAGCCACCAGCACTGGAATAGAACATTTTCGGCTGCTAAAGTTTTCCTAATGTCCTTGAGAAGTGATGACTCAAGCAGAACTCTGATTTAGCTCATCTGGACATTTGTCAAACTTCCTCATGCTTTGTTCCTGTCAGAAATATGCCTCATCATTTCCCAGATAATTGCTTGTTAACCCGAGCCCACATGAAGATAGAGACACAGAGATTTGTCCCCATGGTTTTGGTTGTTAGCCCTCATTAGAGTCCCCGCGGCCAGGTGGGTCGCAGGGCAGATTACTAGCTTTCTCTAAACTCTTTCTCTTGGTTGTCACTGTTGTTCTTTGCTCAGTTCTACATACAAAAGGAAAATTCTTTCTTTAAAATATGCAATTCCACCTTTACTCCAAGATGTAGTAATCTTAGTCTACAGAGAATTTTTGCAGTGTGGACTTATTAAGGGAAGTCCACAGCCAAAGTATACATCCAAAGCATCTGCTCAGCTGTTTACTAATTTTTCCTTTTTGCTTCTTCCTCTCTCCTTTAACTTCAGTGTTACATAAATACCATATCCTTCTCTAAATTTAAAAAATAACTAAGTAAGAGAAAAAAAATTATAAAACTTAAAAATACTTGGGGATCTAATGGGAAAATTTCTATGTACTCATCTTATCTCTGAGTTTAAATTTCTTTTTTTTTTTTTAAAGGACTACATTATTACAATGCCTTTGATTTTTAGATTGAATCATTTGCAAATACTTTTTAAGAGTAGGATAAAATTTTAAAACTGCATTGAGAGAAATTTAGTGGTACTGATTTGTATCTTGTTGTAAGTATTGGGAAAATTAGCATTCATTTCTTGTCAAGTGTTGAATGAAATGTTTAGAGTTTCTGTTTATAAATGCTACTTTGAATTAGTAAGCAGAATGTTATTCTAGTTATAATAAGTACATTTTTAAAGTAAACAAAATCAAAGAAAAAATATATAATTTTACATATAGCTATACTCAAATTGTCTAAAGTGAGATTCAACTTGATTGATTTGAAATCAATGCAATTAACACAGGTACGTGGCAGAAAAAATGGGCGGTAAAATTCCAAAAGATAAACTACAGGATTTCAGCTGGGAACTTCATATAAGTGAACTAAAATTTCAACTTAAATCCAATGTTGTTCCAATTGGACAGATCAAAAAAGGAGTCTTCTGCCATCGAGCTTTGCTTTTCAAGGTATTTAAGATGTTTGTCTCATTTGCCATGAGGTAAAAATGTTTTCTCTTTATCATAATGTAGTGAGCAAGCTGCTAGTATTTAATTGGATAATATTAATCCCACCATGTTTCCCCGAAAATAAGACATCCTCCGAAAATAAGACATAGCGCATGGAAAGATAAGACATGCCCTGAAAATAAGACCTAGCGCAACTTTGGGAGAAAAATATAATATAAGATACTGTCTTATTTTTGGGGAAATATGATATTATTTAGATTTACTTATATTTGAGATATATATATGTGTATATACATATACACAGGTATATACTGTATATAGTCACAGACTACGGACAGCATATTCATTCAACATTTATCATGTACCAACTGAGAGCCAACGCCTCTTCTAGGGTTTGGGAATACAGAGCTTCCAAAGTGACAGTTCCATACAAGGTATACCAAAGCCAGACTTGTAGATTCTAAGATGATGTCAGGGAATTTTTTAGGAGAGAAAATGATATAGTGGAAGTGACATAGGATTTTAGCAGGTAAGGAAGAAAGACAAGAGTTTTCCACCCCTCTGCCTGACTAAACAGCTCTAGACGAAGCTTCCAACAACCCCATCCTTGGGTTTGATTCATTTGCAAGAAATGCTCACAGAACTCAGGGAAACATTTTACTTATTAGATTACCATTTTATCATAAAAGGTTGTGGCTTAGGATTAGCCAGATGGAGAGACGAGTATAGGCTCACGTATGGGAGAAGGGTGTGGAGCTTTCACCCCAAATCTCTACCTGTTCCTCAACCCAGAAGCTCTCCGAACCCCGTCCTTTCAGGGTTTTGTGGTGGCTTCGTTACATAGGCGTGATCAATTAAATCACTGCCATTGGCTGAGTCCACTTCCAGCCCCTCTTCTCTCCTCAGAGGTAGGGGGAGGGAGTAGGACCAAAACTTCCAAACATCTAATCAAGTGGTTGATTTTCCAGGCAATCTGCCCCCATCCTCAGGTGTGTCCAAGTCACCTCCTTATCATAACAAAAGGCGCCTTTTTGGTATTCATCAGGGTTTGTGATGCAGTAATTTCTCATTACTTAGGAAATTCCCAGGGTTTTAGGAGCTGTGCCAGAAACCCTGATGAAGACCAAAATATATTTCTTATTAGAAATCACAGTATCACAGAATGCTATGCATTCAGATAAATTACATTAATAACTGAATATAGAGATTACTGAAATAACACAATTCCCGCCCTGTGGTACTAGGAACACCTTCTGGGTACGCACTGTGTGCCAGCATTCACAGCTCTAAGCACTTGACATGTATTAATTCACTTCCGCTGTGTACCACCCGATGAGGAGATTGTTTAGACCAGTGGTTGGCAAACTCATTAGTCAACAGAGCCAAATGTCAACAGTACAGCGATTGAAATTTCTTTCGAGAGCCAAATTTTTTAAACTTAAACTTCTTCTAACGCCACTTCTTCAAGATAGACTCGCGCAGGCCCTGGTATTTTGTGGAAGAGCCACATCAAGGGGCCAAAGAGCCGCATGTGGCTCGCGAGCCGCAGTTTTCCGACCACGGGTTTAGACCATTGTTATCCTCATTTTACAGACGAGGAAATGGAAGCACACAGAGGCTGAGCCATTTGCTTGAGATGACAACTAGAAAGTGGCTGAGCTGAAATTCAAACCCAGGCAACCTGAGCCTATCCACTGTACTGTGGCTAGGAAGTTTCTAGATTATTTCAAGGGTACTTTTTAAAATAACCTCAACACCCAGACAAATAGAAGAAATAACTCCCCCAAAACATAAGCAAACCCTGAGGAGGCGGCAGCAGGCAGCCCAAGAAGGACCGGCCACTCCTACGTTCCCTCCCGCCCCACAGCATCTGTCCACACGCAACACAGAAGAAATTGGCTAGAAACAGGTCCACACCCACTTAGTCCCTCCTTCCATCCCAGAGAGCAGCCTGGGAGCCGGGAAAGATGGATAGAGGCGCTAGTGCTGAAAGCCCACGGAATGGCTTTTCTCCGATGGCATTGTCAATCTTGTCCTGATTCAATGCAGTGTCGCTGCCTGAAAAATGTCACTTCCCAGCAGGACCTACACAGAGATTTTAAATCTACAGGATCTCGAGGAACAAGGGAACATATCACATTTTCTTGGCTCCTATCACATTACTCCACATGTTTCAGCCTCCTTTCTCTGCAGGAGTTGTATATTTCACCTTCAACCAAGGTGGGTCTTACAACTGAGAATTTTTCCCCACCCCGTCTCCCTCCTCACTCTTGGTTGAGCTTGTGTTTTCTCCCACAGGCTCTGGCTGATAAAATTGGCCTAGGCTGCTCTCTGGTTCGAGGGGAGTACGGCAGAGCTTGGAATGAAGTGAAGCTGATGAATGAATCTCAAAAGGGAGTGATTGGAGGTCTCCCTCCTCCTGAAGTATACATCGTTGACCTCATGTTCCATCCAGGAGCACTGATGAAGCTGAAAAGTAAAGAAGCAGATCGTTACAGATTTCTATAAAGTAGCAAATAAACACAAAAATGGCTCAAACAAGACGTTAATCCTATACACTTTCTATGAAATTCCCTCATTAATTTTATTTCTTCAAATAAAAGCATTAGAAAGGTTCTCTCTGAGTCAGAATGAGGGTACTTGCATTGACATGGTTGTGCTTCTGACTTCAGGATTCTGGCAAAGTGTAGTCCGATTAGATCACCTTATGCTTTGTGAAAAGTCCCTTGTGAAAGCTTATTATTGTCAAAATTAATCCAGCCCACTGTTTCCCAAGGAGTATCCCTGTCCATTGGGATTCTTGTGTAAAACACTCAGCTGCTGCTCACAGGCAATTCTGTGGCCTCATCACTGTCGTTCTTCATGCCCAGAAGGCCTCAGGAACACTTGGTTAAGTAAATTGGATGTTGTTTTTGTTTTTTGTTTGTTTATTTTTTTAATGTCTTCCTTCGGTCTCCTTTCTCACTTGCTTAAAGTAAGATGATTTAGAGTTTGACTACTTATAGATCTATTCTAGTATTACAAATTACTTTCTAAAATGACTTTGTTCACATTTTTTAAAACTTATTAAGTTTAATATACTTCACTAAAATATAAATATTTCTAAAAACTATTTCCATAAATTGTATTTGTCCTATCTATGTTGTCTTGGAAATATACCTTCAGTTAAAAAAAAAAACATTCTGTTTTGCTTTTATACATTTTAATGCTGAGTGACAAAAACATTATTTTAAGTTTATATAACTTAAAAATTCTTCTTTTCTGTGAAAGTTTGAAATATGAAAATATAATAAATCTTTACTGAGTTGTGTTTTCAGTATTAAGCACAAAATAAAGCAAACACACATTTCTAAATGGTAAGAGAGATAAAAATAAGTAATATGATGAATCTCATGAAGTATTTATTTCCTGGTCAGGCTTTAAAATGACAGTTTCCTGTGTAATCATTTTACCAGAAAGTTTTTAAAAGTGAATTTGATTTTAGAAATTAAGGCCAAGATTATTCTATGTGAACCAATTTGTAAATTCAAAGAATTTATAATTCTTTACGTCAAAACAAAGTCCTATATGTCAAATAGTGTGGTCATTATATTTATCATGCAATTTTATGAACTAGAGCATGGACTCAAGGATACATACTCGTCTAAGCATTTTCAAGTCTGTTTTGATCCAGAAAGGATCAAAGTGGATTACAAAGATATAAAATATGGAACAAAATAATAATAATAATAATAGTAGTAGTAGTAGTAGTAGTAAAAACAGGCATAAGAGAGTAAAGAAGCTCAATAAGGCCAGGATTAAGCTTAGAATTCAAATGCATCCATGTAATGCTTATGTATTGTTGGAGGTGAGTGAAAATTTGACTCTGTGCTCTCTCGCAGCCAATGCAGAAGGAAATGCTGAAAGTTACATGCTTTATAATCAGGGACACGAGATGAAAGCACAAAGCAGTTTCTCAGGAGGAGCAAAGACCAGGGAATTCCTCTTTGGAGCTTCACACAGATAACAAATATAATACAGAAAATGCCATCTTTGAAAAGCAACCTCCTAGTTAGTTCTGGGAACAGTTTCCAGAGAGCAGTGGCCTAAGCTCCCGAAGGGCTGAGGGAGGCTCCCTGAAGAGCCACTGTGACCAGTCCAGGGGACACCACATTTCTCAGGCTGGCACAGGCAGACATCTCTTCTCCATTTTGAGACATTATGTACATTTTCCACTTTAACTAGGTTCTAGGTAATTACTGAACTGGAATGAGTTTAAATTATATCCTCAAGTCTTTAAAGTTTATTTATTCTGTTTTACCAGTTAAGTATACAGCAATAAAATTTATTATTAATTTATCAATAATAATACAATCGAGTATAAAAAGAAAACATTCACAATAGCAATAAAAATTATAAAATACCGCTGAAACCAGTCCCAGGTCCCAGGTTCGATTCCAGTCTGGGACATGTACATTGGTTGCAGACACGTCCCCAGTAAGGGGTGTGCAAGAGGCAGCTGGTGGATGTTTCTCTCTCATTGACGTTCTAGCTCTCTATCTCTCTCCTTTCCTCTCTTTAAAAAATCAATAAAATGTATTTTTTTAAAAACTATAAAATACCTAAAAATATATTTAACAAAAAAAATACATAAGAAAACACATAAAATTTTAAAGAGTTTGACTAAATGAAGATACAAGTTTTCTTGATAGAAAACTCAGCAACATATACATTTAGTATAATTTCATATAGAATCCCAATACATTTTCTTTTCTAGAACTTTACAAATTGTAAAATTTATCTGGAAGAGTGTAAGCATATGAATACCAATAATATTTTTGGAATATAGAGGAACTAGCCCCATCATATAACAGAACATATACTTAAAACACAATAATAAATAAATTAGTATAAAACAGACATAAAAATAGAAAATATCAAGTCCAGATGTAGCTTTTCTGCTCGATGGGGAAATGACAATCAGAAAATTATAAGCTGGGCAAGTAAAGGTCTTTTCTATATAGGATTAAAAAAAAAAAAAAAAAAAAAAGCCATAGAACATAGTTGATAAGTTTAGCTATATAAAACTTTTTAAAATTCTTATTCAAGAATAAGCAAAATTATTTCTGTTCATCAAAATAAATTGTAAGCAAAATTATAGTCAGGGAGAAAAATTGCAGCCTACATAACAAATAAAATGTTCATATCTTTAAAAAACAAAGAGCTTTTATAAAACCAATGAGATGGTCCAAGAGAGATGATGATCCACTTGGAGAAGAAGCAAAGAAAATTGTATTGGAATAGAATATCCTTGGAGATCAGCCACTTAATATAAAAGTTATCACATCACATGTCAAACACAGGCCCATAGGGGAGTTCTGCTCCACACAGTCACTCAAGGACCCAGGCTGATTCCTTCCATTTGTAGCTGGAACACCTGATCTTGGTCACTGCAGGGGGGTGACAAAGTGCTAAGGATCTCCTTCAGGACTTACAAGCTTTGGATTGGAATAACATGTTAATTTAGTCAGCACTAGATATAAGAAATATGGGGCAGCTGAGTTAGAATTCTATCACTTAAAAACTGGAAACTATGGCAATTGTAGTTGTGAGATTTCAAACACAATTTATATAAAGCTACTTGTTAGTTTGCCAGACTCAAAAACCGCAATTTCTCTTCTGGAAATCAAACTATTTCATTAAAAGTAATTTCTAACTTTCAAAAATAGCTATTAATTAAATGGAGAAATGAACATCCTAATAAAAGAGTAATATGCGAATTGACTATACCTCTGCTACACCCACAAGCCGTGCCCACCAGCCAATCAGGATCGAGCATACAAATTAACCCAACCAAGATGGCTATGGCCATGGAGAGAGCAGGGGGCTTGGATTTCCACAGCAATAGAGGAAGCCAAGCTTTCTGCCTGTCCTGGCCTGCCTTGGCCTTCGTTTAAGGCTACAAAGTTCCAATTATAGAAAATAAATAAATCCCAGATAACAGGGCCTCCACTTGGGTGTCTGGGGTGTTGGCCAGCCTGCAAACCACCACAGGCCCCTCGCCCAGGATGCCTCACAACCCAAGGGAACCCCTACCCTGATCCTGGACACCCTTCAGAGCCTACCAGCTGACCCCCACCCATGCACCAGGCCTCTATCCTATCTAATAAAATAGTAATATACAAATTGACCAAAACACAAAATGGCTGCCCCCATGTGGTCAAAGATGACTGCCCCAATGTGGACACAAGATGGCCGCTGCAAGATGGCCAGCAGGAGAGGGCAGTTGGGAGGCACCAGGCCTGCAAGGGAGGGCAGTTGGGGGCAATCAAGCCTGTAGGAGCATCAATTAGGGGTGACCAGGCCATCAGAGGAGGGAAATTGGGGGTGATTAGGCCTGCAGGGGAGAGCAGTTGGGGGGGACCAGGCCTGCAGGGGAGGGCAGTTAGTAGCAATTTGGCTGGCAGGGGAGTGGTTAGGTGGTGATCAGACTGACAGGCAGAAGCAGTTAGGGGAAATCAGGAAGGCAGGCAAGCAAGCAGTTGGGAGCCAGCAGTCCTGGATATCTGACTGCCCTGTAGGATCGGGTCTAAATGGGCAGTCATACATCCCTCAAAAGGTCCCAGATAGGAGAGGGTGCAAGCTAGGCTGAGGGACACACACTCTCATGCATGAGTTTTGTGCACCAGGCCTCTAGTCCTATATAATAAAAAGCTAATATGCTAATTAGACCAAACAGCTACATGACCTTCTGGATGAGCTACGGGATGAAGCCAGGGCTGCGAGGACCAAGCCCCTTACACGAATTGAATGCATCAGGCCTCTGATCCTATAATAAAAGCCTAATATGCTAAGTGTCCAATGGTCTAGTCATCTGTTCAACCAGTGTAATATGCTAATGATATGCTAAGGATGCTAAACTGCTCACTATGATGTGCACTGACCACTAGGGGGCAGATGCTCCAACTGGTAGGTTAGCTAGCTGTTGGGATCCGGTTGATTGGGACTGAGCAAGACAAGCTGGACATGCCCTCGCACCCTCCCACAGCCCCTTCCCAGCTAGCCAAACTCCTGTGTCCCTCCCTGGCCCCAATCATGCACTGGCAGAGTCCTTTGGGGGATGTTGGGGAGCTGGTTTCAGCCCAATCCTGCAGGCCAGGCCGAGGGACCCCACTGGTTCATGAATTCGTGCACTGAGCCTCTAGTTTAAATATAATTCTTTCACAGGCTTCCAGCCTTTGAGCAGATATAAATGAGGATTCACTTTGCACTGCACCTTTAGTGAGTACATATCAGATTTCAAAAGTATTATTTCCTGGTCAAAGAAACAGCAATGTCACCCATGAAAAATACTTTTCTTGAAACTTAAAAAACAATCAAATGGATACTGACCTTTTCTCTTTATTGACATACAATTCTTTAAAGAGTAACCTTTTTTTTCTTTTTTTTTCTTTTTCAGCAAGGTATGTCAATAGCAGTCCTTTGCCAAAGGCAGTAAGAGGCAGGTGTGTCAGGAGATGGTCCCTTTC